TATAATACTCTTGTCGCACAATTATCAACAATAATGATTTGTCGCACAATTATCAACAGGAATGATGTTGTAAGCTTGGCGGTAGAACAAGAAGTTACGAACMATTTCAAGGTCAAGAAATATTCTAGACCCATTAACATTGGCCGCCCGAGAGTGTCGCTTCTATAATATTCTATGGTGGCGGTGGACGGTGGCCGCACATAGCACTTTCAATCTCTTCAATCCGTTCCACCTTCCACTAGCAGTCTTGCACGTCCGGGAAACGTGAAATTACCGTGCCCCTTCTTTCCGCTGACCAATTCTCACCGAAGTGGTCTCTCTCTCTCATCAATTCACTTATCACTCTATGATTCCGCGTTATCAGCTTACTGATTAGTGCACCACATCTTACTGCAGTACAAGTAGTACAACCACAGAATAGATTAAATGCTACTACAACTGTAGCCGGCCACCGGCCGGTCGTTTTTCTACCTGTTGTGGCTTTATGAGTGGTTAGTTTTATCGGAATTATTTGTTTTAAATTGGAAATATTGAAATGTTTAAATTTTCATTGATTTTCTAAACGTCCAAACTTCTTAGTTCCTATCACCAAGTAACGAGCACAATTGCAGATTTTTAATTTTTATGGTAAATTTAACAGTGTCTTGATTTCTGTTCTATATATTTAATAATCTGTGTTTAGTATTGATAATTTATAATTAATAAAATGTTTACAATATTTGTCACTATAATTTTTTTTTTACCATTTTAATTGAGATACCTTTGTTGACTTTTCACCACTGAACAAGGTCCAGACAGTCCCATAATTTTCACAATCTCCATACTTGTCGTTAAATACAAGTAATCTGGTAAAAACCAATATTTTAATGACTTCCTCCAACTTCCAATAGGCTGGTGATAGATTTTTTGATATTCTGTATTTGAAAAATATCAGGTACTAATATATTTTTCATTTAAAATACCAAAATTAGACTTGTTTGGTAGCTATAKTTGTGTAAATCTATAATATAAAAATAAGAACCGTCTAAAAATAGTAATGAAATTATTGTTATGCTTTCTAAAATACTTACTCTTTTATTCAAATAATTTCCTTTAATTGATCAGTTATTTCTAAATTTGGATTATTTAAGTTATCTATATTTGTATTTTTTTGAGTATACTTTGTAATTATGTTTTTTTTATCTAGAAAATTAGTATTGGAAAWATTAAATATGGTATCATATCCTACATATTTTGAATTATATCCTCGTAAATTGATGACATTAACTTTCATAATTAAAAACGATGAAATCTTATTGGGTATGAAAAATCGTGGAATGGGAAAA